CACAGATATATGCAACATGGGGTGAGGAGCTCATTGCCAAGAATGGTAGAGGCAAAAGCTGTGGTTCATATCAGTCGGCTGGAACTGTTAGTAATGTTCATGTTGCTCTGAGTCTTCAGGCAGTTTGTAATGGATCATATTCAGATTCTCATGGACAATTATATAGGAGTGTGGTGGTCTTTGAACAAGCAGAATGAAACAAGATTACTTCCCTCATTCAGGATGTATTTGAAGGCAGATGCACTCAGTCAGATATCACTTCCACTCAAGTGAGAACTTGATTGGAAGTGCTTGCCTTCCTCTTCTACAGTGGTGCTTGAAAGTATTAATGAGAGAGTCCAGATATAGATACTTTTGTCACTCATTCTAACGCCTGCTGCCAGCAGTATTGCATCAGTGGAGACAGGCTCAGATCCAGATTATTAGGAGACACTTTCTCTTTTGCTGGAACCAAGTTTGGTAGGAGCCTTGTCTTTTATGTTGCCGAAATGTCTTAAACTTAAGACTTAAGCTCAGGCAAAGTCCAACACAGCTACTGCACAGAATCTGTGTTGAATTTTCAGATGACCTATCAAAAGACCACTTACAGTTAAATGTGACTCTGAAAATGCCCTCTGTTCCCCAGATCTGTGTCTGTTCTATCCTATCCTACCCTGTGATGCCATCTTCTTGTACTTGCTGATGGTTGCAGAGAGATCCATCCCATTTGCATGTTGTGCTAAAAATAGGAAGATAGGAACATATCCTGGAAATTCACTATCCTGGAAATTCACACTGAGAAGCTCTAAGAGCCTGGAATGTCCCTGCATGCTTGAACAAACCCTTCAAATCCAAAATAAATTCAAATAATTTGAATTATTGCACTTGGCTGGTGCAAAAACCTGAAGGGCAAGTGGTTCATAGCTATTCAGTGAAAAAACGTTTCACACCATCTAGTGCCAGATATGTGTGGTCAATGAACAATCTGTTGATTGAAAGACTAGGGTATGGAATCTCAGGCAGGATGATGGTTTGTCTGGAGAGTAAATACCAAAAGTAATATCAGTAGCAGCCAATATTGGTTTAGCTTAGACCAATAAATCTTTGCAGGCATCACAGCATGTAACAGAATTTTGAACTGTAAAATAAGGTTAGAAAAGCAGCAGCCTTCTGGCACTTATAAAAGCACAATCATTTTAATTTTAATCTATAGCTAATGTATTAACTATTTTCAGCACACCTATAGTTCCTCTCCTATATTTTCCTCTCATTAGAATGGGTGTTTTCACTTCCTGTGCAAACTGCTTGTCATTACTATTTTGATCCACCCTCTCAGTGGCTTCACTTGATTGCTACATTGTATTATCTGTAATTTCATAATTTCACATATAGAATGCTTTTTTACTATTTCAGAGTAAATATAAGGAAATTATATGCTTTAGTAAATGTGGATGTTTGCAGTGCTATAAGATTCTATTTTTGCTGAAAGAAACTATCACAGCTACCCATCTCTTATTTTTTTCCTAAATCTGTTCATTCAACCAGAATATGCTTAGTGTGTAAATTTATCTGGGAATGAGTTTTGTAAATCTGAAGAAGACAGACCTTTAAAAATTCTGAATAACAGTGTACTAAATATTAACAGTACACTGTTATTCACATTAAATGTATCCCCCCAAGCACCCCTGCAAAAGTTGCCAGATTGTATTTTTTAATATCTCAGAAGAGAAATACACAGGAGTAATCATTAAATGTATTTAATTAATTTAATGATATCAGATTTAATTTCTCTATCTGATCTTATTCATTTATTTGTCCTGGCCCTCCATTTATATACAAGAATGGTCCCTGGCTTGAAAAATGTTGTGTGTCCCTTCCTTACTGTGATGACCAAACAAAGACTTATTACTCCTGAATAAATTAGACTCATAAAGGAAAAATATTATAATCTGCTTATCAAGATGTATACACTTCTGCTTTATTTTGTCTGTTTGTGCCAAGAGAGAAGATATTAAACCAGTCAAGAATTCTGGCTTCCTTGAAGTTCATACTGATATTGTGAATGTCAGCCTTCACAGGTGAAATACTGCAGCTTCAGTGTCATTATTTTTGTGGAAATTTTCTTTAGGAAAAATATCTACAATATAGAGATGCATGGACATAATATATTTTCTATCTGATCAGCTACACAGAAAAATTATTTTCTAGTTCTTTTCCTAGAAATACTGGTACTGTATATACCCACGGATAAGCTGAGAATTTTAGGTCCCAAAACACACCACAAAAAGTAGGTTTGGCTTATCCACAGATAGACTTATCTGTGAGTATATAGGTAGTACTCCCTTATGGACCTCAGTTGGGACCGGCAACTCTGTCGCTAAACAATGTGATTGTAAAGTGAAACATCATGTGACCACACCAACTTTTGACATCAATTCCAGCTGCAGTCACTAAGCAAATCACCTGCAGTCATTAAGCACAATATCACATGACCACAACTTGCAACTTCCTGCTGGCTTCCCCATTGAATTTGCTTGTTGGAAGCCAGCAGCGAAGCTCACGAATGGCGATCATGTGACTGTGGGATGCTGCAACTGCTGCAACTTTGAGGACTGATCATAAATCTCCTTTTTCAGTGCTGTTGTAACTGAACACTCACTGAACTAGCAATTGATAAGCAAGGACTATCTGTATACGGTAATACTTTTTTAAAGTGCCCATATATACTTGAGGATAAGCCCATCTGTGGATAAACCAACTCTCAAATTTTTAACCAAAATACCATGAAAAATGTGCCACCTGCAGATAAGCCAATTGTGAAAATTAAAATAAATGAAAATTTTGAGGGTCAGCTTATCCACGAGTGGCATGTTTTTCATGGTATTTTGGTTAAAAATTCAAGGGTTGGCTTATCCATGGATGGGCTTATCTGCAAATATATATGGTATATTTTAGATGTCTGCTTTTTCTGTGCTTTGAGAGTGAAGAATAAATTGTCTTTGACCAACAGCTTCAACAATAGGAATGCAACAATAATTAAAGTTCAGAGGATATTTTCCGTGCTATATGCTTCTAGGCAGGAGGACCTAAAAGGTCTCTTAACTCTTGAAATGAAAAAAGATTTCT